AAAAAAACTCAATTTAAAAAAAAAAAAAAAAAAAAGAGACATGCAAACAAAGATAAAATAAAATAGCTGCAAAATGGACAGCTGAGATATATTAGAAATACCTGTGAATCTGTCATTATTTTCAGTCATTAGAGAAGCAGGACTCCTACCTGGCTCATCACCAAAAGCAAAGTCTCCTGCTTTGCCACAAGGATTTTCATACCAAGAAACAGCTGCTGTTCAGATAAAGAGCTGGAAAAAATTTGTGGGACAGTTACCCTTTTAACCTAACCCAGAGACTCTTAACAAGTCTGTCTCCTATATCCATGTCCACCTCAGTCCAAGGCTGTGTCCAGACTCAGTGGGCTCGTCTACACTGGCCCCTTTTCCGGAAGGGGCATGTAAATTTCACTCGTCGTCGTAGGGAAATCCGCGGGGGATTTAAATATCCCCCGCGGCATTTAAATAAAAATGTCCGCCGCTTTTTTCCGGCTTTTAAAAAAGCCGGAAAAGAGCGTCTAGACTGGCCCCGATCCTCCGGAAAAGGGCACTTTTTCCGGAGGATCGGGGCCAGTGTAGACGCTCTTTTCCGGCTTTTTTAAAAGCCGGAAAAAAGCGGCGGACATTTTTATTTAAATGCCGCGGGGGATATTTAAATCCCCCGCGGATTTCCCTACGACGACTGCTGAAATTTACATGCCCCTTCCGGAAAAGGGGCCAGTGTAGCCGTAGCCCTGGTGCATGGCTAGCTGGAGAGATGCCCTGAGAACACACCATATGTCACCAAGCAAACAGAAAGGGGACTCAAATCTCAAAAAGAATGCAAAGGATGGGTCTGGGGGTTGGTCACCAGAGAGCAAGGCAGTAGAGTTCAAAGCGATGTCCAAAGAGGCAAGAACAGGCAGCGTGAGAAGAGTGCTGGAGACTAATCATAACACAGTACTTCACCGCACTAGTGCCCAAACGCATTATCCAGAGCACAGCAATCTCTATGCTGTTTGCAAAATTGGTTTACCTACAGCAAACTAGTGTACATTATGATTTGCCAGTGTGGATACTGAGAAAGTTACAATGCGGGGGACTGATTTACTGCACAGTAACTTGCCGCTGTAGACTTATTTTTAACTTTGGCGCATGAAATGTGTCATACTTAGTTTTAGACAAAAGGTGAGTTGTTCTGAAGAAAAAGTAGTAAGAACCTAAAAACAGCTATACTGGGTGAAATCAAAATTCCATCCGCTCCCGTATCCTGTCTTTCACCAATGGCCAGTGCTAGGTGCCCCAGAGAGAATGAACAGAACACATAATCATCAAATGATCCATGATACTTGTATGAACATGAGAAAATGATAGCGGTTTCATTGTTGGGGGAGGGAGGGAAGAGACCTCTTCCTAATTTGTTTACAATGCCTTTATTTATAAGTGTAAAATTTGGCATAGTTGTTATCAGATATTTATTAAACAGAGGACGGGATTATTTGAGAAAAATGTAGGAACAAAATGAGTGCAACCTAATGCATATTGCCTTAAGTCCAGATGTTGCTATATTTGAATAATTGAACATTAAATAGCAAAATATGTAATTCCTATTTACATATGAAAATATTCAAATAAACATTTGAAGGTACAATCAAATTTAAGTGCATTTATTTAAATATGAGCATATTCACTTAATCTCAGCTAAACTATTAGCACTCAAACCCCTTCATTGAACTGAACGGTAACTGTAACATTCCTGAACTGGATTGATAATGGATCTAATGATCAATCTCAGGAGAATGGCAATGATAAACTTTTTACTTCAAGGGGCTTGTCTTGATGTATAGTGCTACAGGGCATGGGTACTGGGTGAAGGCCCAGCGGTGGAAGGGAAGACAAGCCCAAGAAGCCATATCCCTTCCCCTGAGACAATACCTCCTAAACCAGTGGTCCCCAACGCGGTGCCTGCGGGCGCCATGGCACCTGCTGGGGCATTCGTGTGCGCCTGCTGACAACCTGGGCTGGCCCCGCTCCCGGCGCACAGGAGGCGCCGGCCCCAAGCGCGCGACACACACTGGTGCTGGGTGCGCGGCGCTCGGGCGGCTCC